GGGATACTTACAGATACGAATTTTTAAAATATTTTTGTAGAATGACAACACCGAAAGACGGCATCACGAGAGCAGCAATCAGCGACATAATGATAATTCCAATTCAGCGTCTAATGGGCAGCCACAGCACAGCACTCGCCAAGTGGTGGAACAAGATGATGACGATGAAGAGGAGTTAACACTGAAATACGGGGCAAAGCATGTGATCATGCTCTTTGCACCCGTCACACTTTGTATGGTGGTGGTAGTTGCAACTATCAAGTCTGTCAGTTTTTACACACGCAAGGATGGACAGCTGTATGTATCAGAGTTTGCTTTGCTTTTTGTCATTGTTGCCTTGATGTTCTGTAATTCATTCCTTTTTGTTCTTCCACTAAACTCAATCAAGGTTAAACTGGACATTATGACAGTCAGTTTGACCATGGGTCAAAACCAAACTAGTATGAAACAGAGACATGGTTATAATTTCATACAAAGACAGTGTGGGCAGAAACAGAAGATCAAATCTTCCCCCTGGAAGATTATCCCTATGAAAACCCCTCCCCTCTGGCTTTTCTTCCAGCCAGGCTTCAAGTCCAGAAATGAATCCCACCTGAAGGGAAGCAACTGGAGATGTATTTTTAGAAAGGAAAGTTTTTGACAACCTTTTTCCTGCAACTTTTCCACTTTGAATCATACCCAACCCATATTACACTTTTGACTGTTCTAAACAAACACAACTGGTGTTACAGTTGTTATTTTCAGTCATGTTCTCTGAAACATAACAGCAAACAGCATTCTTCCCAACACTTTTTGGTGTATAGATTAGATGCTAGGTAGAAACCAAGTAGTGTTGTTCTACTACTTGGAAGGGTTCTGTGGCTCATGGATGGATGGAGTAGTTGTGTTACCATGGATGGATGGTGTGCTGCACTCCCAGTCTGCTCTGGAGGATCCCAAAGAAGCTTTGGGATTGGCAGGGGAAGTTGCTTCCTTCTTGTTCTGCTGATAAAAACCTTTTGTCAGTAGAAAGACACTTGAAGGACCCTAACCCTTTATGCTGTCATGTAAACTAAACATGTGCCTTGTACTTTTTAAATAAATAGCCTGAGATTGTTTTCTATGTACTCAAATAAAATGGTTTTCCAATTAATGTTAAGGGTCTCCCTTTTTTAGCCCCATACAGTAACCTTTGAAATGACATTTCTGATATTATTATTTTCTACACTTTAAAGTTATTCAAACATCACAGTAAATCTTTGGTTCTGAATTAAAATACATCCCTGGGATGCAGTCTTTTAAATGAGAAACATGATCCTTTTATTTAGCTTATTCATGTCCCATGTCTCATTTTGACTCTGTTTGCAGCAGTAAATGGGGTAATCAATAACTTGCTTGTAATTCATTTCATAGCCACTAGGTGGTGTATACATAACAGCATTATTTAGAAGAATTGTGATTCAAAGCATATATTTCATAATATATTGTTTATTTGTAGCAGTTTTCTTTGGTGTGCTTAATCAAAAAGAATTTTTAAAGAGCACTGTATTGCACAACTTTGACCTTTTATTTCAATCTGGATTGTATTGCAGCATCTATACCCCCTTTACAGAAGATACTGAAACAGTGGGACAAAGAGCTTTGAATTCTGTTCTCAATGCTGCTATCATGATTAGTGTCATTGTTGTCATGACAATATTCTTGGTTGTGCTTTATAAGTACCGGTGCTATAAGGTGAGTTGAAGCTTACTTGGAATGAGTTATCTTTCCAGTGTAGTCAGTACTAAAATAGTTGTTAAAACTATGCCTAACCTAAATATCAACTGTGGAAGAGCATTAGATGATAATGAAAATAACCGTTTCCTTTTCAGGCATTTCAGTATAGAAAAGGATAGTCATAAATATCTAATTTGGCGGTTAAACCTTTCTATAACTAATTTAGTGGCCACATTTTTAGAACAGTAAACCCTGTGTTGCAAATTCTGGCAGCAAAGTTTTTGTCAGGTTTTAGCAGGTAATGTGGAGTCTGTAGCAACAAATCAATTAGTGTGGGCGCAATTGCTGAGTGAGACATGAGAACATTTTAAATCAAAAAATGTGAGACCAGCCTTGACATGCTGTTATGAAGTAATTCTTGTCTTTTGAAGAAGTGTACTTGAAAAACATGTATTACCTAATTTCGTTAGAAAATAGTTTGGTGTGTAACTACTGCTGTACTTACCATAATTTTCTTTTCTGACAACTTTCTGATCAACAGGATTCAAACATTCTTTGTTGCTAGATTTTTTTAATCATCTAGGTTTGGTGATTTTCAGAAATATAGGTTTAAATTATTGCAGTCTCTAAACTTATTTGTCCATTCATTTTGGTTTACGCCATACATGCATAGCTGTTACTTTGTTGATGTATTGATTAGCTAAAATTGGCTACAGCTGATAGTGAGAGTTTAGGAGGCTATGTTTCAGAATTTAAAGATCAGATCAGTATTTTTGATAGTAATTTGCCACATCAAAGAGTGCAACAATCTAAGATTTGAAAACAATGATTTTACATTAGCTTTTTATTTAACTTTCTGCTTAAAGGTTTTAGATATTCCAAGTTTCTGGCCACTCACATACATTCAAATTTGTACAAACTAAAGTATAATTTGGGGCACGTTGTTTTATTGGGTTCTAAATCCCACCCCTTTCTCTTATTAGGCATTCTTAGTTTCCAAATCATGTGAAGGTGTGACCTCTATAATTACATGGTGATGGCTGGGATTCAAAGAACCTCATGTATGAGTAATACTCACATGGGCACACACACAGCTTGCCAAGCATACACACATGCACTCCCCCCACCCCCAAAGCACAGATTGCTCTGGAGTTACATGAGAAACCTTTCAAGGGCACAAAGCACTGCAGTAAGAACTGGGACAAAATCCTGAGTGTCTGTATGGAAATGCACAGGCCTTTGGATTTCACCTCAAAAAGTAATGTTATCTAGGATCCACTCTCCTTTTAGAATGAGCATGCAATATGCTCATTTTAATGTCAGATCTGAAGAAAATCTATACTGATGTGTTTTTGTTTCAGGTGATCCATGGGTGGCTCATCGTTTCTTCTCTCTTCTTGCTTTTCTTTTTCTCATTCATTTATTTGGGGTAAGTTTTCAAAAATCATGATCTTTGGAGTTAGAACTCTGGATAAACAGATCCATCTGTTTTTTGATGAATTATAAAGTCCACACCCATTATGAAAATAGTAAATCTCAAAGTATATGTTGAATAGCAGGTACCCCAGTGCAATATTGTTCAGCAATGTGTGTTCTCAGACATCCCACTCGCACTGCATTATTAAATGAATACTCACACTTTGGAGGAGGGCTAATCAGAGTTTTGCACATTTGGTGACAATTCTTCACATCTGTCTTACAGAAACCTTGGTAGGAATTATACCTTTCTTACAGAAACCTTGGTAGGAATTATACCTTTCAGCTACAATATTTTGAGAATGACGTATTCTTAGATCCCAGTAATACTGGGTAGGGGGGGTGTTGATAACATGCAGTAGAATAGCATAGGTGCATACTTTTTCTTGTTTTGTAGAAATATCTAGGCATTTGGATTTCAAGGAAATAAAGCTATGTATAGACTTCCCATTTGTTTGAGAACTGATGTTCCAATTTCCTGAACACTGCAGTGAAAACAAGACCAAAGACCTAGATGGAACAGCTTGCCTGCAGGTTTCCAAGTGACAGCTGTCTCTGGCTCCTGTGCTGTGCTGGAATAGTGCAGCACAGGAATAGTAACATTCCTTGATAAAATTTGGCATATGAAAATCATAGTACACAGGGGAATGGGTCAAATGAGTGACCCGTGAGGTAGAAATGGAGGTGAGAGCCTCATAAAATCCACCTGTGTCATTCTAAGGCTTACATAGTTTGTTCCTGGCATCTTGTCATAGCACAGAACTTAAACAGGGCAGGTGACCTACTTTTAGGTGCAAACTGGACAGAAAATTCCAACTCTGATCTGTTTTTCCTCATAAAGATGATATGATAACTGCTATGCTGTTGCCATTGCAGCAGCTAAGAAAAGGATAGGATTGGGCTGTAAACTTGCCTTTTTGAGATTAATTTGGGCTTCTTTAATGTGCACAATTGCAGTCCACAAGAAATCCTACTCAAAATTACTCTCTAAGAAAAGGTGTACAGTTCTTTGATTGCTTTAAATGCCATTTTAAAAATCAAAGTTGAGAACTGTATGAATTCTTACATACCCCCTATGCTGATGCCTCTTTTTCTTCAATACTGTGCAGTCATTTTATAAATAATTGATTTTTTAGTTAAGACTTTACAGTAATAACTTCTCACACATGCCTTATCTCCTGCTGAAGTTGCAACGCCTACTTGATTTGCTCTTCTAGTAGACAAAGACAAGGTTCTGAATTCTGTTTTTCCAATAAAATGCCATTATAGAGTAGAGAACTTACACTTGGAATCTCAATGTTATAATTACTGTTACGTTCCCAGGAGGCAAAAGAGAAGAAAAGAATGGTGATATACAATACTTAGTAAACTGGGACTTGAATTGAAATTATGCTTGAACCAAGTATTCCTTCCAAACAGAATTATTTTGCATTTAGGTTAGGACTAAGGGAAATTATTATTTTGAGCTTATGATAGAAAAAAATTGAAGTATAATTCATTTTGTTCAACTGTTACTTGTTTGCATATTATGACAATCACCAGTGTCTGGGTTAACAGGTTTTCCTTAATCTATTCTGTGTTTTATAGGGAGGTTTATAAGACCTATAATGTTGCCATGGACTACATTACCATAGCACTTATGATCTGGAACTTCGGCGTAGTAGGAATGATCTGCATTCACTGGAAAGGCCCTCTTCGGCTTCAACAGGCCTACCTCATTATGATAAGTGCTTTAATGGCCCTGGTATTTATCAAATACCTTCCTGAGTGGACTGCCTGGCTCATCTTGGCAGTAATTTCAGTGTATGGTAAGATCCTCAAGCTAAATACTGTACTAGAAACAACAATGCCCTAGCATGCCACTTTTCTGTCTTAAGCAAAAGTTTTAGAAAACCAGAATCCAGAACTGGACTTTTTAACTGGTATGCTTTTGAAGTCAGATGTCATGTTGTGAATGTGTATAATGCCTTCATTATGCTTCCCTATCCAAATCTCTTCACAGCACAAAAAGGATGATGTATTTTCACCATATTATTACTTTCTTTTCCTTGATCCTATGTAAAAGGCTTTGACTGTGTCTATGATGAAACTAGGTAACGGATGCTTAAAGGAGATAGATATCAAGCCCTACACCTAGCTTCAAAAAAGTTAGTGGGAGGGGCAAGGCAACAGAACTTTTCTTGCTAGAGAAAAGTAACTCCAAGAAACATGTATAATCGCAAAACTAACTTAACGAATTGAAGGGAGAAATCCTAATTGTTATTACTAGATTCTTCCTGTAACCACTTTGAATACTGCTTGCATTTGATATATTCTTATTTTTTTCTGTTGTACAGCATAACATCTCAGCTCGAAAAAGCTGTGTGATCTTTCGTAGTATGGCTTATTTATGCTGATTTGTGCTAAAATATGATTTTCATGCTTAGACTGGTAATGTGCTACATAAAGAGAGAAGACTTTTCAGGATAATTCCATTTGTGCAGCCAAGAATTAATCCCTTCTGACAGAGCATCACTCCACTTTAAAATTGTGTTCACTATGACATGAGTTTGCTGCAGAGGCATAGTCATGCAGCTTACTGTGTTTCTAAACATGTTTTAGAACAATATTCTTCATATTATTTTTACTGAACTGGAATATATCTTAGCCTTCTTGTTCCAATTTTCAGTCTGTGTATATGGTAGGGACAAAAACTGCCAGACCACCCTGACTCCATGGTCTACCTATCTGAGCATACAACTTAACTTTTGCATAGGATTCCATACAGATAGAGCTTAACACACATAGGCTTGATCCATACAATATGTTCTCCACAATTGTAACCCTTTGGAACAGATGCTCCACTAGGGAGTGGGGTGACCCAGTGCATGCCTCTTTGTATGTCAAAATCCCAATGCAAATGCACAGAGATTAGTTGTGTGAACACTCCTTACACTGGGTAGCAATGTATTACTTTCTGTCTTACATTGTTTTGCCACTCTGTAGGATTTGTAAGGGAGAAAAGCAGAGCAGTTCTCCAGGACATGGTTGTGCAGGATGGGAAACCCACAAACATGTTAATAGTGGTTGTAGGGATGGAACAGTTGTGCATCCTGAATTGAAAGTACCAGAATATTTGCTATTTGGGTGCTATGGTGGGACAGGTAGAGGTGAGAATGGCTGCATTATTGCCATCAGAAATTATTCTTATTTATTTTATAGATAAAAGGAAAAAGCAAAGAAAAAGTAACATGAGAAAGAAAAAAAGATAGCAAGGGACCTTACACAAAAATTACACATTTTCACATATACACATAGCACATATTAGCTGACCTCTAATTTTCACTTACACATATAGCACTAAGTGCAGGAAATTATGCAAAAAGTCAATAGGTATTTTTACTTCTATCAATTTTATAACTACAATTATGACTTTAAAAAACTTGGCTATTACAAAAAAAAAAGTTTTAACATGGGTATCAAGTAAATAATAATTTACCTTATAACATATCCACAAACCCAGCAGCAATTGTTTTTTCTTTCCCAGATAAAGCAATATCATAATAAAAAGTTAAATTCATAAAGCAAGTATATTACTTTATCATTGTGTACATAATACTTAATTGTAACACTCTTAATTGCTTAATAAAGGATATATAATAGACTTTCCATTTGACATAAAATTCTTTAACTTATCTTCTATATATAGCATTTCCAGCACTTTCCATTATACTTCTTGTCCATTTTCTCAATATGTTTTGGAGTAAAATATCAACAAAAGAACATCTTGTACTAGCTTTCTCTTAGTGCTTGACTAGCTGTAAATGTTGTATCTTTCATCCATAAGGTTTCCTATTGGCGGAAGGATATTTCTTCCTCAGAGTTCTGCATCCATGTTATCATATATATATTTAATTTGTTTAATTTTCAGTATCATACTGCAGTCATTGCTTGTAAAGCTGTCCTATTAAGTGATCTTTCTGCTGCTAAAGCTACTTTTCAGATTCTGTTGAGTCTCTAATGGCACCTCTTTCTGTTTGAATTTTCCTTTTCAGTCTTGAAACCAATTGAAAATAGAGAAGCAATTCTATCTTTCTGTCATCTTTTAGTTTTTGTCAAAGCTTAGAGAGTAAATGTTTTGTACTTATTTTAATTTAGGTGTACTATCTAGCCTATGCAATGTGTCTTATCTTCTCACTGTTCACTGAACTGGATGTAGTAGTTTTTTATGTGCAATTTATCCATTTATGCAGAGTAGATAAAAATGTGTCTGCAGAAAAACCAGCTAAGGTTCAAGATGTTATATTTGAGCTCCGCTAAGTAGTGTAATGTATGGCATTTAAGAAGCCATATTGCTAAGTCACGCTCTCGCTCGCTCACTCACTTTAATGTCTGTCTTTCAGATCTGATTGCTGTACTGTGTCCTAAAGGGCCTCTTCGTATGCTGGTTGAAACAGCTCAAGAAAGAAATGAAACTTTGTTCCCAGCGCTCATTTACTCATGTGGGTATACAGAGTTGAGATTTGTAATCTGATACCTTTTCTTGAACTGATAGAAATATATAATCCACCTGGTTTTCTGCTGAATTACCTGATGCTAGATGCACAGCTGTGTGTCACATTTTCCTTTCCTTGGGGCTTAGGTCTTTGTTTGCTGCTGGCTCAAACACTCAAAAATTCTGTCACAAGATAGAAAGAACTTTTTGTGTAATTGTAAATAAAAAAGGAAGGAGAGTAAAATGATATGGTTTAGTCAGGGCGATAAATTGCACACAACAACCTCTATAAACATTTTTATTATTTTCAGCGTTTTGCATCCAATGCATGCACTTGCATGTTTATTTATCTCTAATACATGGGATATAAGGCAGAATGTCTTGGCGAAAACAACCCTTGCCCAATTTACAGCATTTTGAAGATACTTACCACTTTAAAAAATAAAGTTTACCTTGGAGATTCAAGAGACATTTATTGACCCATATTCCTTTCAGAAATTGATTTAATAAATGATAGAATTTACTAACCAGTCCACCAGAGCAAGGTCACAAATTACACATTCTATCAGTGCATGTAGATATACTGGCACAAATGACTTTAGGATTGGTACAAGTAAAGCAACTATGCCTGTCTGTTTGGATTTGGTTTATGTCTTGAAGTAGACCTGATCTTTGACTCCTGATTCCTAAAGAGTTTGCTGTTTCTGCCTCCAATGCCTATGTATTTGTGCTGATAAAATTAAAAAGAACGTTCACTTTTTTGTTTTGTTTTGTTTCAAATTAAGGTAGCTTTGTAATTTTGTACAACAAAGCTTTTCTCAGGTAGAACATACCAGATTTTCAGCAAGATAGGCTTCTAATTTAATGTTAGTTGGGCAGATACCAGAAAATAGAAACGGAAACAGACAGAAAACATCCTGTTTTGGTCATGCTTTAGTTTTACATCATTCTGAATAAGTGCACTGTAAACAGAGACATTCTTTTGTTTGCATACTGTCTAAACAAATTGCTGCAAAATGTTTCTATCTACAAAAATTCTACTTTTATGCAATGGGATCATGACAATGTAGTATCAGTTAACCAGGCTTGTCTCTTATTTGTCCAAAAGCAACAATGATATGGCTAGTAAACATGGCTGAAGAAGATGCTGAAGCCCAAAAGAAAGCTCCCCCAAACTCTACTTATGATAAACAAGGTATGGTTCATTTATCTTTCTTTGTTTAGTGTGTGTGTGTGTGGTGGGGGGGTGTTCATCAAATGGCCTCACAAAGACCCATAAGAAACTTCAACTTACCCTTCCTTGGGTTAATCAAATAATCAGACCCACTATAGTTTTGTCATTGCACTTGCAGCCCTGAGTAAACAAACATGCAGCCATGGCAGTGGGGTAATCCTGAGGCCTCCCTGTTCTAGCATGAGCATGAAGATTAATCCTGTGAAGCCTGCAGCCTGTCATGAGCACTCTGCAAGGATTGACTCTTGTCTTCTGTTACAGCAATGCAGACACTTCAAATATTGACATTCTACATCTGTCCCAACTTTTTTCTGTTCTCATTTAAAAAGTAATCAGTAAAGAAGACTACTGTTTGTCAAAATGATTTATTACTGATCCTAGAGGAAAAGGCAAATCAACAGCACATCTCTTTCTTCCATCCCTAAACTGCTTAACTATGTGGCAATACTATCTTGAACTATTACCAGTCAGAAAGCTTTTGCATCTTAATTCCAGCAGTTAGCATCTCTCTCGTGTGCTCTCCTCTCCTTCCTTGCAAATTTCTCTTGAAACCCAGGCAAATTGACAGGGAATGAAGAGGTCAGGTCATATTCAGAGGGACAGGAAACGGAGAGGTCAGCTAATATTTTTGTAACCAGAAGTATGTCATGCTTTTATGGAAGTAAAAAGCAAACATTCTTTTTCAGATTTCTAGATGCAGGGTTAGCAAGCTTCAGTAATATCTAAAGACCTGCTCTTGTACAAATAGCAGAACCTCATATCTGCAGGGATAGGTTCCAAGCCCCCCAGTGGTTGCCTGAAACCTCGGATAATAGCATACATTATATACTGTACATATACATTTCTTTTTTCACAATTTCACAGATAGAAGATTTGTTCTTAACTATACATCCTAGCAACCTCAGCATATGATTTTTCCTTTCCATGTTAAATCGAGAATTTTTACTTAAAGGAAGCACTTTACAACTTCTCTTTGGCACTTAGGACTTCTCTTTTGGACTGAGGTCAATCACAGATAAGGGAAAACACAATAACTGAACCAGCAGATATGGGGGTCTTGGTGTGTTTACAATTAAATTGCAAAATGTGGTCTGTTTTAGGAGGTGTTTTCTTTTTCATTTACACTGACAGTATAAGCAATGCTTGTTAACTCAGAAATAAATTCCACTACATTCTGCATCCATGATTGTGTGTTAGAACAGGTTTGAATAATTTTCATATGCATACTAGGAATATGTTTCCCAACTGTGTCATACCTGGGTATTCACAGAGGTCAGTGGAAACATCTTTGGGTCTTTGTGTGTATGTGTTTTTTCATTATATTAAATAGTCATTAAATCGCGCATTGCTGGAATTGTCATTTGTTCTTGTTATGTCAAAATGTTAAGAACAAGTTTCAGGTTTCTGTGTTTTTCAGTCACAGCTAATCAGAACCAGAGTGCAGGTGCTGAGGCTGACGATGGAGGTTTCAATCAGGAATGGGAGCAGCAACGAGATAGGAGGATAGGGCCTGTGGGATCAACCCCTGCAACACGAGCTGCTGTTCAGGCTCTCCCCACTAATTCTGTAGCGAGCGAGGACCCAGAGGAAAGTGAGTAGTAGTTCCAGATAAGCATGCATTAACTTTTCAGGCCAATGAAAGACCATGTAGAGCTTCTTGCTTTGGAATGCACTTCTTGAACCTTTGTAAAAGGCATAGTTATTGATTTGCCTGTAAACTTTCACAAGACTCTAACCTTGGTGTGACTGATTAATTTATTGCACTCAGTAACTGGGGAGTGTTGTGTTCATTTATGGTGTCATGAAAACTGGTTTGTCACTTTTCCAATAAAACTAATTCTATTCCAGGAAGAGAGGGGATATAAAGCGTATCTTGCAATTCTGTTTTAAATGTTGAAGAGACTTGCTTAGAAAGTGAGGAGGAAACATACATTTCCAGGCCTTGCAAGTGTTTAATCAAGTTTACAAGAAGTGTCTGTAGGTTATTTATTACATTGTTGGTAAAGTCGTGCATGTGAATGCTGAGCTTATGTTAATTAGGAGGACAGAAACTCCTGGAAAGCTCATTAGATCATAGAACACATGTTGTCATGAGTTCTGTTTTCCAAACTTATGCAGCCTGCTCAGAAACTGATCAGCAGAGAATATAATATACAGTTACTTTTTGTACAGGGCACAGCATACATGTCATGAAGATGCCATGTGTCAACTGCAGCACTGTATCAAAATGTCATTTAGTAAGGCAATTTGCAAATTGAGTTAGAAGAGTTGTGTACATCACAATACATTTGGGATTCAAACCCATCACTCCAATGTGGGTATATATGTTTAACTGATAGGAATAGATACGGTAGAAAAGGCAGACCCACATAGTAAACCATCTTTGCCCCTGAAGGTGGAAGGAATGTGACTAGCAAAATCATGATTCTTTGTATGCTTATTAGGGAAACGTCTAACTCTGTAGGTGGATCAGAAAAAGACCTTGCAAAGAGATACCTACTGTTATCTCACATCAAGGATAATTGATGATCAATGTGGTGAATGCCTAATGGGAACCACTGGGCTTAGAATGAGGGTCAGAGTTATCACTGTAACTTGAAGGCTTGAGTAAACATTTAGGTATGTCTCCAGTTTTATTTAATTGAATGAGAATGCAGACACCCTCCTGTTGTCTGTTAACTGAATGCTGTACTTGTAAAAGCCTGCCAAGCTGTTAATTGTCATAATAATAAAGCTAGCAGTAAACCATAAACATAGGTTTAAATGTAAAGATGCATCATAATTAGACACATAGTCCTTTAAAAAATTATAATGGGTACCTGGTAGGAGACACTGGGGCACTGGCTGTAGCATTGTATGTGGGCAAGCTATCATTTTAAGCAAAACCTGCAAACTCCAAGCAATTTATTTACTTTCTAGGCAAGAAAACAAAAGTTGTATTTATCAGAAAGCTGTAATCAAATAAGACATATAATGAAAACAGTTTATATTTCATTTCATTGGATTTGCCAAAGATACACACTTGATAACAACACAGACAGGGCTGGAAGATGGCTAGGAAATGCAAGAAGTATCTGACAAGCTTGCCATCTGCTGTAAGTATGGGAAGTCAGTAATCTCTAACACCAGACCACGCATTTAAACTTGGTGCTACTACCTTCTCTGCTTCTTAGCAGCAGGGGAGGGGTAATAAGACTGAACTTCTCAATCAGAGGCCGCACCCCGCTTTCTGCATGTTTATAACCACCACAAGATTTTAAAACTCTTCTATGTGGTTCTTGGTCAATTGTTCCCACTTGGTAACTGCATTTTCATTATCATATCATCTCTTTAAAAGTCAAGATAGGAACAAGCAGTATGCCTGCATATGCACGCCCCTTGCTCCTCTCTTTATGGTGTAAGCAAACAAACCAGAAAGGTTCTGCTTAACCACTTTTATTAGAACTGGTAAGCTAGTTACTATGGTTTGAAATTAATAACCTGGCTTATTCCAAAATTTGTAACCATGGTTTGGAGAAAACTGGGAACTGCTGTTCATTAGAAGCTATCTGGTTAGTTTGTTTCTGCTGCTGTGGGAGAGGCAAAGGGAATGCATACACAAACAAAAGATTCACTGAAATCTAGATTCATTTTCCAACTTCTAGAATTCGTTGTTTGTAGCACAATCCCATAGCTCTCAGACAGTGTCTAGATGGCAATTGGATTTCTTTGGATTCTGAGCTATGAGGTCAGCAAAGCACACTTACTTCCCTGGAAATCCATACTTAGATCCCCTTGCTTCTTGCATCTGGTGTAGAAAGACTCATGGCAGCTGTTTCTCCAAGGTCACAAGAGTGACCTCAGATAAGGGTTTTGGGGGATGCTCAGCATGGTAGGGAAGGAAGGAGACAAGTTCTGTGAAGGTACAAGATATTCTGGAAGCAGCTCAGTCTCCTCTGCCCCTCTGAAGTATTTATTTATTCACTCACATATTTATATGCTGCCTATAACTACTGGAATGGCCTTCCTAAGTACTGTACTTAGGCCACCAATATCAGGGCAGGAGGAGTGTGAAGGTGACCTTCACAGGATTCCTAGAAGCCTCCAAATTTGACATTCAGATTGACTTGAACCCTTAGCAACTCAATTAACTTAACTTTTGATTTCAGATCAAAACAACTGTTGAGGTTTGTTCAGTCACATCTGTTTGACATCATAATACAAACATTTGGAATATTGTTGGCATAATGGTTACTATGTTGGACTCAGAAGATACAGGTTCTACACCCATTCAATCATGAAGTTCACTGGGTTAATCACAAATTCTCAGCCTAACCTATCTACCTCACAGGGTGGTTGTTGTGAGGTTAAAATCAAGGGGAACCCTTGTAAGCTACCTTGGACTTCTTGCAAGAGGAAGAAAGGTAGGGTATTAATGTAATGTGAGGAGGAGGGGGGAGGATGCCATAGAGTTGGCAAGAGAAAAGACAGGTGCTTTTAAATGTCCTGCTTGTTCCTTCAGGGATTATGATTAAACAGAAGTTACTGTAAATGGTGGCTTTAATTTCATGACCAAGGGGCAGGAGTCTTTTTTTAAAACTTCGTTTAGCCATTCTCTTTTTCCTTTGCAGGAGGAGTTAAGCTTGGTTTAGGGGACTTCATTTTCTACAGTGTTCTAGTTGGCAAAGCCTCAGCAACAGCCAGTGGAGACTGGAACACAACTTTAGCCTGTTTTGTAGCCATTTTAATTGTGAGTATATGAATAAAGTGGCAATAGCAATCATCTGTCCCTGTGCTTAGGGGCAAAGTGAAGTAATTAGTAGTGACCATTGGGAGATCTCATTTTGGAACAGTATTCCATTGGATGTTTTTTAATTTGCCTTGTCAAGTAGGCAGCCTTATACCTTTCTTGCAGTCCCCACCCCTTAAATAAAAAACACTTCCTTGTTCAAAGCAAGAATGAGTCTAATCTTTCTTTCCCTGTAACTGGGGTCATAGTTACATAATCTGAAATGTAAAAGCTTAACATGAAAGAGCATTCTTGGAGTCCGTCTTGGCTTAGTTATTTGGCCCACTTTGAAACTATGTAAATTGTCATTAATGTGATTGGTTTGCATGATCAACAAAGAGGGAAACAAGCCATAGTGATTTATTTGCCTACTGTGATGCCAGCCCAGTTTCCTTAATTGACCTCAGTGGTGCAGCTTTCTGTGTCATCTGACCTACATGACTTGGCTTGTTTCTGGGAGGCCACAACCTGCAAAAAACCCAAGAACAGCCCATGGATTATTTGCAGATCACTACCCTCTCAAACTATCCATGCTGCTCAAGTTCAGAAAACATGGGAAGCCATGCCACTGATGGTAATGAACGAAATATAGCCAGCGAGCATAGAAGGGTAAACAGACCAGTGTGGCTTGTTAGTCACACCATGATTATGCAAACCAGGTGCCCTGTCAATGTATCACGAAAGAGGATTGGGTTGTCTGTCATATTGGTGTTTCTTCATCAAAAATGAATGCAAGCCTAAGTGCCTGTTTATTTTAATAGGAAAATAGACCTTCAAGGAAGAGGCCAGAATTCTTCCAGATAGTCCAGAATGATTGAGATTATTGTTTCCATAACATTCTAAAGGAATTAATTTACTCCGCTTGAATGTCCCAGTGCAAATGGCATCTGATTGCAATGTAATGAAATGTGATTCTTCCTCTTTGCATGATGCTGGACAGACAGCTCTTACCTGTTTGGTGAGAAGTAGGTTTTCCTGCTCTCTAGCCCAGGTGTAGTTAATTAGTTGAGAGCGCCTTCTCCTTGCCCAGTTCGTTATCATGGACTATCCTACACTCTGCCTTGCTGTGTTTCCTTAGGGTCAACACATAAGTCTGTTATTTTCTGTGTTGAGAATTTCACCATCTAATTTGTGCATGCCTTTTGTCTCCTTTTTTTCTCCAGGGCTTGTGCCTTACCCTCTTGTTGCTTGCCATCTTTAAAAAAGCCTTACCAGCTCTTCCAATCTCCATAACCTTTGGGCTCGTTTTCTACTTTGCCACAGATAACTTGGTGCAACCTTTTATGGACCAGCTAGCTTCTCATCAGTTTTATATCTAGCACACTTTAAGTTGACCACTGCTGGACGTTAGTATTGACTGTAGCAAATATGGGAGGGAAAACGTATTTCTTCCCATTTCTTAAAGCACCCACTGTGCTGGGCACTACAGGATTCTTCTCTGTAAAAATTAATGGGTAATAGGACAGTGAGTCCTCAGCAGTTGGAGTTCTACGTCTCTGAAAGGACCACATGTACAAAGGTTGCCTATGCTTTCACCAGCAACATTAACTACTCAGCACAGCAATTCCACCCCCACCCCAGTGTTGAAGATTGTTGCAAAGGGGGCTGGTAGATCAGACGAACATGTCTGAATGTTAGAAGAGTCAGCCTGCCTCCAGAACACCAACTATCAGCAGTTGCATCTTGATCCCAGTGTGGGATCAAGTTACCTCTGTAGATGAGAGGATTTTATCTTGTCTAAAGAGAAAATCATGAAAGCCGTTCTGTGTGCTTTGTGATACATTTTTACAATTCTAATTGTCATTCAGACACAATAGCCTGTGTAGAAATTTTGAAGTTCTGAGCATTCTTCAACAGAGAAAATATATTTCCTGATTTTGCTGCCAAATGTTCCTTGGATTCAGTTTGCAACAGACTAGACATCGATCAAGATTGTGATCTTTGATTTCCAAATAAATGTAATTCTTACTAAATTTATATAACCCATTTTTGGATTTCTCCCTTTTCTCATAACTATTCTGAATACTACTTCAACATTATTTCTGAGCTATATAATGTATACAAATATTAAGAGATAAGAAGACAGAACACTCTTAAAGCTACAGGATAGCCATTGACACATCACACCAAAACATTTCTAGGGTTTTTTAAATGAAGTAGCAAATTCATATTTTGTTCTCAAACTTACAATTGTTTTAGTTTTTCTTGAGATCATTGTGTAAAATGTTGTGTGTCATACTGTAAAAGGGACAAGACATATTTTATAAGACTGAAGGGACTGCAAGGCATTAATGGCTTCTGGAGATGGACTAGGTAAATTCAGCCCTTCATATCCTCTTGACCACATTTAATTTCAGAATCTTTTGAAAGATGCTGATTCACTAATGTATTGTTTAGCTAGATTTGCTTATACCCCACTGCCCAACAGGCCCATCAAATTTGCCTTCAGGATTCTTTAGCACAGTCATTCTTTAGTTCTTATACCTTCTCCCAAAATTTACAGAGAACATTAGGGAACTGCTTATCAGCAGAAGTCTGAAAGTCAAATCAAGCATGACAGAAATACTGTGAAAATGGATTTTTCTATTTTTTCTGTATACTGGAATTTATTAAAGACCGATTGCTAACAAAATGAGAAGTAGCATTGTTATCTGTATCTGTAGTTAAATGAGGCTAGTTAAGTGTCTACATTCTGGTGGCAATGAAGATACGGGGCTAATATAGTATATTCAAACCATAGTGAATACCAAACTTTTAAGGGCTGCAGTCATGGATTACTTTGGCTCATGAGATTTGGGATGATATGGTTGGAATTCTGTCCTTGTACATTACCACATTGCTGATGTGGTAAAAGAAACAATATTGGAGTCCATTAGAAGGATTTTTAGGATGGATAAACACATTTTCTTCAGTTTTATTGGTATCTTATTTTGGCAGCTAAGTGTAAAGACCATTATCAAGACATCTGCAGTAGCTGGTTCTGTACAGTGGTGTGATCTTCTTGTTTCATAATACTGGAAATGGAGTAGAATTGAATTTTTGCTCTAGCATTTGGTTTTCTTTTTTCAGACACTGGTTTGTATATAATCTGAACTGAATGTGAATAAGCCTTTTTAAAACATCTTTTCAATTAAACATAATTTTGATAGGTTATTTCAATTTTCTCTGTATTTATCAAATTATTACAATAAATAATGCATGAATCTTAGAAAGTCTCTTTTATTATGTGTTCTCATTATTTCTAGAATACTACGGTTGATCCTGAAGGGCATCTAATGTAGTATCTGTATAAAAAAATCTATACTGCATCATCTACATTGACCAATGCACCATTCCAAAGTATCTTTGTAGTAAAGAATAGACATAGCATTAAAAATTTGAGTTGGTCAAATCAAGGAAGCAGTGGTGCTTGCTGGGTGACCATGGCCTGGAAAACATTCAGCATACTCGAAACATTAAGAATCTTAAGTACAAAAAGCAAACAACCAGGAACCTCTCCAAGGAATTGTTCTATCAACATCAACTCCAGAAATTATTGTGATCGTCGTGGGTGTCCCAAAATACTACATTACAAGTTCAACTGACTAAAATGATGCCAGATTGTTGTTCGTATAATAACTTTTCTGTCCAAGATGGTTTTAAACCTAATGTAGTTGGCTAGTCAGACTAATCTCTTGGGGCAAAATCCCTACGCAACTGGTAACAGAAAAAAAAGGCCTACAACTATAAACTTTCATAGGGTTCTGTCCTAAATTAAATCCAAAATTGCAGTGTTTTGATTGGTCAATGTGGTAACTTTTGTTTAGTTTCTTTTCGCCCAAATGACTCCCCGGTCTTTCACACATTTGTCACTCAGACAGCATACGTAACTTCCTTGTGTCTGCATAGGCTTTCTTTTCCTGCAGTCACTTTGGTAGATTTACTGGAGGTAGAGTGAGGGTTATTTCACTAGTACTTCATCTGATACTTCACTTATTCTCCATGATTTGTAAAGATAATAGATAGGGCTTCTGTGAGTTCTTCTGCATGTTCCTTTAGGGTGCAATTCAGTGTGATTTCCATGGTCTGAAAGTCTGCAATCCTTACCATAGACACCACAACACAGAAATTGTACTGTTACATAAAAGCACATTTCTTGAACAATTTTTCAGGGTTTAAAAAAATTAAATCCATTTCCAATAGCTTCCCCTCACATTAATTTAAAGAACTTTTCAAAGCTGGTGATTTTGAATCCATGGGAGACATAATTAAGGCATGGGAAAAGCTATACAAAAATAAATTAAAAAACTTTGTGTTGAACTGCAAAAATAACCTTATTAAGATGGAATTTATATAGGTCACTGATGGAGGCAGGAGATTGCTTTACAAGCCATCGGAATAAAAAATGCATGTTTGTAGACTGCAGCAATATTAAAGCAGGAAAATATGGGGAAGATTTTGTAGAGGTGGGGTTCAGGCAGTTACATTGTTGAATGATTTCAACCTAATCCTTTTTTACAATGAACACTGCAAAACAAAAGAATCAAAACATTTATCTAGCAAGAACAGACAACCTAGGGAAAGCACTGTTAATGGAAACATGTAATTATCATTGCTAAATAAATATATTCATAAGCAAACCCTACTGAGTTCACTGGAACTTACTTTAACAGAAATAAGTGTAGTGTTGCAAGCTAAATCTGTTGACAGATGAAATCTGTGTCTGTTTAGCATTGCCTACCCTCACAAAGTACATATTTTACAGCCATGCTATCTACATTCCAGGTGTGCAGAACCAGAGGTTGCTGGACTCCAGTATCTATCAATCCCAGTCAGCATGTCCAATCAACAGGGTTTAAGAGTCTGTAGTCCAGTAGCAAATGATCAAGACTTAACCTGGACTTTAAGCATGGGAAGCATATGCGAGGAATGGGGAACCTTCAGCCCAGCTTCCCAATCTGATCCTAGGATTGTTCGAGATGGTCCCACACCCCCTTTCCTCCAGCCATCAATCATTTGCTGGATTCCCAGCTGTGGCAGTTTTCCCCCCATACTAAGACATTGAAATGCCTCTTCTAAGGCTTAGTTACTAGCTATAATATATGCAAATTGAAATATGCTGGTATTGATTGTATTTTATATTCCTTTTGCTTTTGGCCCAGTCACCACTGGAACGCAGCCCCTGAGAGTTTCTCCAAAATTGAATTTAAGCACTCAGGCTGAGAGGGGCTGATAGCAGCAGCAGCACCAGAAGCAGCCATGAATGTGCTACCACTGAGCTCAAGCCATGCAGCTCACTTAGGCAAAGAAACACAGAGGACATGTCTGGCTTGTTGCCGTACTTGAACAGCTTTGGATTCAGTTAAGGGTATTGCTTTTAGAACAGTATAGTCTGAGTTCAGAACTTTTTCAGCCAGGATAACTTTTTCTGCATACCATGCATACAAGAATATATGCAAAATCCCTGATTTCATACAAGTTATTTATTTATTAAATATATTTTATTGTGCCCAATAGCCCAAAGGCTCTCTGGGCAGTTAACAAAATAATAATAATTATTATTATTATTATTATTAGAACATTTCTATGCCGCCCCTTGCCGAAGCCTCGGGGCGGCTTACAAACACAATAAAATACAATAAAATACAAAAATAACAATATAAAATTAAAATTAACAATATAAAATAAATAAAAATATAAATATAAA